CGTCCCAAAGGTCAAACCGGTCACAGGTGATGGGGACCTAAGACCTATCGCCCTGACCCCAGTGCTCTCTAAGGTGCTAGAAGATTTCTTTGTCGAGTGGCTGATAGACGACGTTAAACACCATATTGACCCCCAACAGTTCGGCAGCCTTAAAGGTACTTCTACGACCTACTGCCTTCTGGATATACTGCACAACTGGCTGTCGTCTCTTGACTGCCCTGGCAAGTTCCTCCCCGTGTGCTTTCTAGACTTTAGCAAAGCATTTGATCATATTGACCATACCATCTTGGTGACCAAGCTAATCCATCTAGGTGTTAGGGGTTGGTTGATCAGTTGGATACGCAGCTTCCTCAGTGGTCGCCGCCAGGCTGTTAAGCTCTTGGACTCCATCTCAGAGTGGATGCCCGTACATGCTGGTGTCCCCCAGGGCACCAAATTGGGTCCAATCCTCTTTTTGATAATGATTAATGACCTGGCTATTCACTCCCCCCTCCGCTCGAGCCACTGGAAGAACGTTGATGACGTTACAATATCTGAGGTCACCAGTTTGGGGGAGGCGTCATCTCTGCAGAACGACATCAACTGCATTTGGCAATGGGCCCAGCAGAACAACATGAACCTCAACCCTAAAAAATGCGAGATCATGACCATTTGTCCACTCAAAACCAAGCCTGTCTCTCTAATGCTTTCCATCAATAATTTACCCTTAGAGGCAGTGTCATCTTACAAAGTACTTGGTCTGACCCTGTGTGACACCCTAAAGTGGAACGATAACACCAACGAAATCGTTTCCAAGGCGTCTAAGCGACTGCACATTCTCCGGGTCTTGAAGCGCGCTGGGGTCCCTCCAGTGGACCTTGTCACCATCTATAGTGCCCTGGTTCGCTCTGTCCTAGAATACTCTTCTGTTGTCTGGGCTACTTGCCTTCCTCGCTTCCTCATTGACCAGCTTGAAGCTATCCAGAAGAGGGCCCGGCGAATCGTATACCCTGACCTCCACTATCAACAGGCTCTTGCACAAGCCAACATTACCAGTTTAGAGGACAGACGCGCCCACCTGTGTCTTAAAGTGTGGCACAATATCAAAAATAACCCGGATGGCCAGCTGCACCGCCTTCTTCCTCCCGTGCGATCCGAATGCCACTCTTTCCATCTTAGGAACAGTGGCAGTTCTAGCCGCTTCCAGTATAGAACAAAACGCTTCGGTTCTAGTTTTTTCCCAGCAATGGCGAAAATTAACTAATCTTACGAGTCTAGTTATCTCTAGTATTGTCCCTTATCTATATCTGAATTGTAAATAACTTATAAATAGCCTGTAATCCCAGTCCCTCTGAAACAAATGTAATTTTATTTTTAGTTGTAACTTATGTAAGCACATTGTAATTCATAGTTTTTATACCACCGTGCGTATTTTAATAAACCATCATTAAAGACTATGTTCCTTAGGTGTCAAACTTCCTTGTGTTAATCCGGCATCCCTGCGTGCTGATCGTCAGTGAATAATTATCGTCAAAACATTCGAACTTGTAACATTGAGGTCTATTGGTGTGCTCCCAACCTATGGGTCTTCATAGCTAAATTGGTTAGAGCACTGCAGAACTAACGCAGAAGCCACGGGTTCGAATCCCGTCCAAGGCCCCCATTTTTGTTTAAAATTAATTTGCAATTACCACCGTAACGATCATATCTTCATTAAAATTTGTATTTCCACAGTTCACAACATCTTCATCAGACTGTTTGTTAAGGGAAATACTCAAAGATATGTCCTATTCTAAGAGGTCGTTGGTTATCGGGCCCTGGAAATAAAAATGTTAGGGCCTAATAAGAGTAATTTCAGTCACTGGATGATGTTGATGACCAAAGATGATTGTAGGAAAATTAGGTTTCCTTTTGTATTACTTTACGTAAAAAGAAAAATAGCAAATACCAAACAATACAACTGGTGATAAGACTTACAATTGTTTGGCTCTTCGTTTTCTTTTGTTGACTGTAGTCTCTTCCAGTACATATAGAGGAACTACATTTTGGAGGTCCTAACTATATATGTTTTTAATGTCGTAGGTCCCCTTCATTTAAAAATGGAAAGCAAAAAGGACTTAAGGAAAATTTATCCATTAACACCAGAGGGATTACATCCTTTTATGCAGTATTTGGAAGACATCAAAAATTTAACTGTTTTTGTAGGTGGGTATACACTTATGGAAAACTTTCTCACCCTTTCCGTAGGTTGTGATAATTATGCACGTAATATCTAATATTTTTGTATACTGTTGGCGAAGCGTAAAAGCGAAGCCTCCGTCTATACTACAAGTCATGTCTTTATTCATCAGATAAAGATACATATCAGATGTTACAATGAAAAGGAATCTTTAAAGTCTAAATATTATATAGCTACAATCATCGTTAAAAGTGTTGGGAAGGTTGCCTTTTTTACTTCTTCTTTTCCTCCCTCCCCCCGCCCCTGGCCCAATGTTGATGAAAACGTTAATGTTTGTGCGTGTAATTGTTCTGTTATATTGAATTGTTCTGTTACATTGAATAGTGGGGACGGGGGATATTTAGCAAAAGAGAAAACTCTCTTTTTTCAGGATTAAAATGGACTACTGTTAAGTTGTGCATCCTTCCCAACTACTTTTGTCTGTGATTGTCTGAAAATTCTGGGTGTGGCCGTAAAAGGTCAAAACTCGACGACTTTTTGTCAGTTGAAACGTCTTCAAAAAACACTCGTAAACAGCACTCTGGTGAAAAAAAATACTTGCCGTATATACCTTGTTAAGGCAGTTTTTGGCGCACACGCCCGTTTATATTCGGCATGTTTTGCAACCCGGTAAGTACAACTATTGCTCTCAGTCCGGGGCGCAGGAAGAGGGCCAAAATACAAATGTAAGATTATTTTCGGTGAAAGCTATTGACTATAGCATAGGCTGGTATGCTCCAAATGTTAAAGCAAGATATAGTGCGTTCACCAGTTCTCCAAAAAATCATTTGGATCGCGACATTGCAGCTGACTTATTCCTTAGCAGCTCCCCCATTCTTTACAACATTCAGCACATGCCAATTTGCCATGTGAGCAAACTATGAGGCTGAGTGGAGATTTGCCGAATTCTAGAGGCCACTTTCTTTAGCTGAATAGCTCTAGTTAAGCCCTTGTGGCACTGCTTTTCGAAACTGGTTTCAGAAAACGAGAACAAAGTACGCTCCTGATTTAGAATAAGGCGTCTATTGTCTTCGTTAATCTAATTAAAAAAGGTAACACATGCAAAGTCATCACACACCACATTACTCCACTCTCGTAGCCGAAAATAATTCCTTTATATTAGCGTTAACGACAAAATAGCCTAATTGACTTGTTCGGGGCTTTGCAACGAGTTAACCAAACGAATGTTCATAGACATTTTAGCTTAATTCTTAGTAAAATACGACATTACTCCATGGATAGCGTTAAAATTAAACTAACTTTGCTGATTGACCTTTATGGGGCACTGTTTAAATGGAGTAATGCTGGGAAACAGTTGTTAAATTTATCCCCGTAGATAAATGCGAGAAAAGCTGTCCATATTCTTACATGGTTTACATGTTCTTGCCCTTTTCTTGTTTGAAAGTTGGTTCATTGTGCATATATTTCGCATTTTCTTATGGAGCAATTTGATGGAGTAATGTGGAAACCCAAGTTGTTTACTGTTCTCAAATGAACTGAATGATTGACGGGCGACGCGAGCACAGCAATTTCTATATGAGCACTGAACATGGCTGAATAAACTCTTTTATAGAGGTTCCGTATTACTTTCATGCCTTACAAAATACAGTCTAGAGCATTTTAATTCGGCACTTATCTCACTCCTACCTCCCAACCACAAACATCACGTTTTCTAGGACAGTATAACACCGCCAGAATGAAAGAAAAAAACTCTATTGTGGCAGCCTTTATGCCATTTCTATTTGTAACATCTTTCAAAATATTTCGCTGATAGGAAACGGCAAAAGTGAACCAGGGATAATGCTGCTAATGAATAAGATACATGTATACATGATAACGACAGCAATCGTATAGCATTTTTTACTTAAAAATACCCTCATGACTTTTCGTTAAATCTAGTGAAACAGACCACCTGTGGCCATTCTTTCTACATAGTCCACGCGAGGAAAGCATCCTCTTGCTTCATGAGGAAAATTAACGGCCTTAGATGTTTTCTTCTGACGTTCTCAAAAGAAAGTGTTTTCACCCAGTGGATTTGTGGTCGCCCTATGAAATGTCACACACGTCAGATGCAAAATTCTCCTATTTATGATTTTACCGAAATATCACGTTCATTATATTTTTTATATAGTTTTTCAAGTGCATTATCAGCACAGTTCCAGGGCGAGATATCTCAATCAAACGTTAAATGCGACAAGTTTTATAAGCATTTAAAGTTGATTTCCTATTCTCCTACAATCATCGTTAAAAGTGTTGGGAAGGTTGCCTTTCTTACCCCTTCTTTTCCTTCCTCACCGTTCATGTGGTCAACAATTTAACTCAGAAGACTGGTGTAAGTCTGAAAAGCTTCAGTGAGCAAGTGAAACAAACAACATGGCGAGTGCGTCTTTCATCGCTAAAGGTCAGTCAATTGTCTGGAGCATGGACGAAAACCTATATAGCCAGTTTAAAATGTGGAAACAAAGATGCGAATTGCTATTCACCGAGCCGATGGCTAAAATTAACGAGGAAATCAAATGTAAACATTTATTACACTGATCTGGAGAGCAGGGTATCGAACTGTTCAACAGCTAGGATCTGTCTGCAGACAAGGAAAAAAAAGCTTGAAAGCTACTGGAAAAGATTTGAGCACTTCGTGAAACCACACTCAAATAAGTTGATAACAGCATGGGAGCTTCATAACATTCGACGAGGTACTCTCTCTCTTGAAGAATTTATTTTAAGACTAAGAGTTCTTGTGAAGAAAGCTAACTATCCAGTCGAACACAACGATCGTTTCCTTAGAGGTTTTCTTGTTCTGGGTATGAACTCTGACCGCGTACGTAAGGACTGCTTCAAGGTTGGAAATGCCTTCATGTTTAATGCAGCTCGTGAGATGGCCAAGTCAGAAGAGTCAGCAGAGAAACAACTTCAGTTAATGAATACTGAAGTACACTCCATCAATGCTCCTAAAGGATACCAAGGCCTTAAAAATGAGCGACAACACCCCAACTCTGACTCAGGTCTCAGTCCCCAGCGAAGAATGCCACATGCCATTATTGTCATAAAGTAGGACACCTAGCTAAGGTATGTCTCTCAAAGTTAAGAAAGAAGGATGTCCATGAATGTGCAAGTAATGTTGCAAGCGTGTCTGTGCCAGACCCTAGTGACCACATGTTTCTGTGCACAAGTAGTGCAACACCCTTGACTAGTAGTGTTCATGCCATCTCCTGTAAAGAGAAAGCTCTCTTGGAGGTTTCTCTAGCACTGAGCCTAGAAGGAAAATAGACACGTCTTTTGTGAGATAGACTTTGGTGCCGAAACCAACATCGTACCCTCATCCCTGTACAATCAGCTTGGCCCTAGAGTTATGAATCTACAGAAACCTACCATGAAGCCTACAGCATATGGTGGAACCGAAATCCCGAACTTGGGATCCTGCTAAGTGTACGTTAAGGGCCCTAACAACCCAAAACCCAAAGTAATCCAAGCGGAAGTTGTTGATGTCGATGGCCCTCCCAGAACAGGCAACATATCAGTGCAAAGTTTGAATCTTCTGAAACTCAGTTGGGCCGTCACCGTTGAAAGTAACAGCAAATTTACCAGTCAGTCCCCTAAACTATTTGATGCATGTGGTAAACCACATTCTTTCCCACTGACAAAAGAATAACTTCTGAAAGAGTATCAAGATGTCTTTTCTAGTGTTTACTGTTCCCTAGGCCCCCCATACCATATAGAAACCAACCCGGATGTTTTCCAGGACAACACCCCCCACGGCAGATTCCAGTCCAGCTACAAAGTGCCTACAGAGAAGAACTTTTATGGCTAATACAGGCAGGCATTCTAGTGCAAATACATGATGAGTATAGGCCACGGGTCAATTCAACTGTGGTTACAAGAAAGCCCAATGGCACGATTCACTTATGCCTAGACCCCCGTGACCTTAATAAAGCCATCCGGCACATCCCTTACTATGTGAGAACCATACATGATGTGATACCCAAGGTCGGTGGCGCCTCCCACTTTAGTATCCTTGATGCCCAAAGCGGGTTCTGGCAAGTTGAACTGGACGACGAAAGTAGCACATTTTGCACTTTCAGTACTCCATGGGACAAGTACAGGTGGAAAAGGCTGCCTTTCGGACTTACCTGCAGTGGAGACGTGTTCGAAGAGAAAATGAACAATGTGTTTGGAAACCTTGATGGACTGAATGGTATTGCAGAACATGATCAGCAGAGACGGAATGTCCTTGACACAGCACGGGAGAACAACATACGGTTCAACCCAGACAAGTTCCAGTTTAAAGTAGACCAAACATCCTTTTTTGGGTTTACGTGGACCCCGGATGGTCTAAAAGCTGACGATCTCAAGATTAAGGCTATCAGAGACATGCCTTCCCCACAGAACCTAGCCGAGTTGCAGACCTTTATGGGGATGGTTAACTACCTGAACAGATTCTTCCCAATAATGGCCCAGACCACAAACCACTTGAAAGCATTTGGAAGAAGAGTATACCCAGTGCATCACCACGTTTCCAGAGGCTCCTCCTGAAAATGTCCAAATACAACTTATTGCGGATGTCCTATCCAGAGTCTGCTGCATGGAATCCCCTGACGAGGGCCACGGAATACCGTTGCTCGAAGTTGATGCAGTTACCCACACCTTGCCCGCTAGCCCAGCTAAACTGGATGAAATACGAAACTACACAGTCAAGATATTGTACTCCGCCATTTGAAGGATGTCATTCATCAAGGGTGGCCTGAATATCCAAACGAATATCCTGCCAACCTAAAAGTGTTCTGAAACTTCAGAGAAGATTTGAGTGTTGAAAATGGTCTCATCTTAAAGGGACATCGTCTTTTAATTCCTAGCAACCTTCATACTCAGATACTTGAGATTATTCACCAAGGCCAATTGGGTCAGAGAAGTGCAACTTGAAAGCTAAAGACTGTGTCTTTTTGCCGGGTATCTTAAAGGACATTAATGAAATGACTGCCAACTGCCCCACTTGTATGCAGTTCTCTAAACGCCAGCCAAAGGAACCCTTGCACCCTCACAGTGTACCCAGTTTTCCTTGGCAAAAACTTGCCACTGACTTGTTCGACTACCAAGGTGCCCAATATCTGCTGGTAACAGATTATTACAGCAAGTACCCCATCGTGAGAAAGCTAAACTCGATTACATCTGCTGCTATCGTTAACAACCTCAAGTCAATATTGGCAGAAAATGGGATACCAGAAACCTTAATGTCTGACAATGGCCTCCAGTACAGCAGTCAAGAATTTGCAGCCTTTTGCAAGCAGTAAAGCAGGCATTGAACATGTGACGAGCTCACCACTGTTCCCAAAAATCAATGGCTTCATAGAGCAGTCAGTCCAGACAGTGGAGAACCTTCTGCGAAAAGTAGCACTGCTGACATACCGGACCACACCTGTAGACAGCAACTTACCGTCGCCTTCTTAGCTGCTGAACCACAGAGCTTATCGCACACAACTGCCATGCAGAGGCCACCTCCAACGTTCACAAGCCTTTGATAGCCACCGAGAGCAACTACAAAATCGACAGGACACCCAGAGAAACCAGTACGACCACCAGACGACACATGAACTTCGACAACTAAATCAAGACGAGCAAGTAGTCATATTCCAGCCACAAACCAAGACATGGATTCCAGGAGAGGTGAAGGAAAAGCCCGGTAAACCAAGGTCCTGCATAGTCAAGACAACTGGTGTGTCTGAGCTAAGACGCAACAGAGTACAGTTGAAGCCTCTACAGAAAATACCAATAACCAGTGGAGGACAAGTTATTAGCAACCAATAAAGCACACTGCCAGACAGCTATGAGACAAAGCCCTTACCTTTTCAGCTGTCATCATCAGAACTACCCCAAGCGCCTGCCCAGTCACCGATACCTTCCAACCAAAGCAAGGATAACCTGCCCGTGACAACCAGGAGTGGCCACATCGTAAAGAAGCCATCTAGACTAGACTTAGAAGCACCTTTTTGCCGTTCGAACACTTATAAAGGAACACTTATAGAGAGACTTATAAACTTTTGCTTTTCATTATTATTATTTTTATCATTCCCTTTTTTTTCTTTTTTTGGCTGTAAGTTCTCGTTGGAAAGTTAGATTTCCGTTTAGCTCCTTTTCAGGGTGGAGATGTTACATGAGCTAAGCTTACGCAACAGTCTGGCGCATGTTTAGTGATCGGACTGAGCACACGTTGGGAGCACGAAACGTTTTCCTGGATCTGAGATAACTAAATAAATTACTGTGAACCTGTCCTATCCTTTTACACTTCGTTCAACCTTTTTGCTTTGTTTTGTTTCGTTTTGGGGGCTAGTGTGCGTAATTATTGCATATATTTTGCAATAACTGTGTACACCCCCGATATGCAATAGTGGGTCAAGGTGTTATCAGTACTTCATATTATAATAAAATATAGTTTTAGCCAGGGCTAAAAGCGAAGCTCCCATTAATAAATAATTTAAATCAGACACATTCATGTGACTTTTGAGGGAAAGGCTAAATGATTTTAAAGAGCTAAAAGCCTTTTATGTACACCCAAACGATAGCAGTCATCTTCGATGAGTCAGGAAGCATAATGGCTCTTGATCACAGTAGATTAGCCAATGTACACATTGTAATTAAAAGGTTACATTCCTTTGTCTAATAGGGTGGCCAAAAGAACAAATCAAGCAGAATTTTTTGTTCAACAAGTTTACTTTACAAAATCTTCCCAATAAGTCTGGTGACGTGTAAGCCAGCCATTTATACTTTTTATACATCACATCTGAGGTAAACAGTACTATGAGGCGGTGTTTTTTTAGTAAGTTTACATACCTCGGACAGAACACGGTTCACCTGTCAAATTTTGACCAATCAGAGCATAAAAAGGTGGCGTAGAGCGTGACCAACGCGTGACCATGGTGAGTCAAAAGTAACTGCCTTCCCTACCTGTAAAAACTGGCTAAATTTTTTGTGTCTGAGGTCACATTGAAATCAAAATTTTACTAGTGCAGCTCATAAGCAAAACTTAATTCCTATGCATTACAAAAAAGTTGAACTTGAGCCTGCGATTCTTTCCAAACCAGAAACTTGTCAGCAGATAACCTCGAAGAAAATACTCGACCTCGATGCGTCAATACCCCAGCCCGCGATTACGTCAGGTGGTACTGGTCAGCGGATACCCTGTTTCGGACGGATGGTTGGTCGGTGGTCGGGTACAGTCACGTGATTACCAAATTTTCTAGGATGGATAGATTTTCTTAGCTATGGGGCTCCCCCCATGCGAACGCGGGCTTCGCACACGCGTGGAGCTCCGTTATGAATTATGACGCATTGGGTATAAATTTTAGCCTGACTTTCAGACGATAACTTCCAGTCGCTTTTACACCCGAAGTAATGTATGAATTGACCGGTCGTGAATGCGACTCGAAGTAATCGTCTGAAATTCAGGCTACATAACTTTTTCTTTTTGAAGTTTGTTTTTAAATAGGGTGTTTTCACTGTATTTAATTTCTGGTCAGATAATACTACCGTCATCTGCTCTGTGTTATTGGCCGAACCATTTTCTTTGCATTTTCCAGATTTGTTCAATCGTGGGCTTATACTTAAATCTTTTATGTCTTTAAGGACTCAGGGAGACCCCTGAGATCGAAGCCAGGAACCGTGATAGCGATGATGACGAGAGGGAATATGGCAGTAACAAACTCCGAAGGCATTCAGAAAACCCACGTCCGCTGCAACAAGAAACCAACAAAGACATATCAAAGGAACCATCAACCAGCAGGTAAGAAACAAGAAAAGGCCTATTCTGCATACTCAGGATTGGTTTGAATTACACTGACGTATATTTCGAGCGCTTTAACTGGTATTTTGTGCGATACCTTAGTTGAGCATAGGCCTTATTTTTATTGTTTTCCATAAATGAATTCCTTTGAATACTGTACTTTGCCTGTAAAGGCCCCGAAATGAACCGGCGTACGTGGAAAAGAAATGGGGATAATTTCGGGTTGGGATCATTTCTTGGTAGATTTTAGGTAGATTTCATCGCTGATAAAGTCGCACATAAGCAGTTTTACAGTTTTAGATTCGAGGTATATCTCCGAGACGGATGTAATATTCCCATTTGGCAAGTTGTTCCAGTCATCGATCCTCGTTTGTTTTACACATCTCTTGGTGCTTGGAGTGGAATTTATTTGAGGGGTGGGAGTGGTGGGTTTGGGGTACGGCCTTGTCCTAATATTACGTACTTGAATGACTCGAAAATAGGAGTCTAAGTAACCGGGGCGAAATGACCGGTTACCTACGTTAGGTGGACTAGCCACTTCCCCTCCGTTGATCAGCATTCTTTGTGGGTAAGCCTGATTTTGTTTAAATTTCATTTCTTTTTCAACTGCTTAAATTATGATGAAATTCACTGCAAGGATCATAAAACGTATC